CGACAGTAAATCCGCTTATCCGCCACAAAGACGGGGAGAAGTAAGCAATACTCAGACCGAGTCTACGGCCATTCGCACGAAAAATAGGGAACAAGTAGACCTCGACCAAACACCGGCCCCAGCGGCAGACACGCATCAATCATGAACGACGCGAGCATAGCATGAGTATCTCGGGCGAAGGATGAATCCCGCGACCAAGTTCATAATGTTGTTGGCCTGGTATAAGAATACTACGGGAAAAACTAACGTATATACTAACGAAAGGATGAATCTCCCGACCAGGTTCATGAATCTACTAGCCAAACGCATGAGTTTCGCGGGCACGATCATGAATCGTATGTCTAAACTTATGAATATCTCGGGCACAACCATGAATCAGGCGCCTAACGCGCTTAAATCTATCAGGCATAATCCCCAGACACAAGATTCTACTACTAAAACGTCGTCAAATCTATCTACAACACGAGAAATCAAAGGGAGAAAACACTTACTTGGAAGAAGATTTGAAGAGCGACGGTGGTGGAAGTAATCAGACGGCAAACGACGCGGCGGTCTCAACGACGTTGTGAAGACTCACGAGAGTGAAAGCAGAGAAAATATGAGAAACGTGAAGAGGTGAAAACGAACTATGGGCCCTGGAACCCTATTTATAGAGATGACGTGGAATATGAAACATCGCGCCGGGGAACCACAAACCGCCCCCGTCCTCGACGTCTACTCACATAGACAATGATGGCCCTATTCTCTAGGGCGGCATTGTGGTTTCCAAGAGCTCCACCACGTGTCCAACTGACGCATCCCCACAAGCGCTCCTCGAACACTCCTCAATCGTTGCACGGGGAAAATCACAAATCGGGCGATCTCTTCTCCCCGACTGAAAATCCCTGCATCGCGTGAGCGAGTCTCGCGAAAGAGCGAACTGAAATCAAGTCATAACTCTTGTATCAGGAGCAATGACTTGGGGGGACTCCTGTTCTGGACTGGGCCTACCCGTAGCCCAATCACCAATGAGGTCCAATCCAAGCTTTACAACGTGTTATGTGGGACATTAGATCCTTCGAGGACACCCGATCATGGGCGACAGGTCGAATACGGTCGTGCCCGCCGATGCCCGCGAAGAACATCCCCGACGAGAGATGCCCCAGACGAAGAACATCTCAATCCAAGCCCTGCTCGAGTACCCTCCTCATAGGGCAGACTTTCAACCTCTCCGGATGTCTCGAAGTCCTCAGAGTCCCGGGAAGATTGCGTCTTTACCCTCCCTATTCTGCAGAGAGCATCATCCAGGTAGAGGACCACGTGCAAGTCCCAACTACTGACGTGGAACCTGGCAGTCCCTTTGTTGGAACTATTTGGTCAGCCCAATAAAGGGACCTTGGCCCAGCGCTGGGGGCTATAAATACCCTCTATTTCAAGAGGGTCAGATATTCATTCATCCACACCTATATACTACTTGTCTGCTCATTCCGTCTCTCACTTTGTCATCAGAGTGTCTTGCGGATACCCTCATCTCCTTCAAATTTAATTCAAAGCCAGTTGTGACGGTCCAATTCTGATCAGGTACGATCAATATCCATATTTTGTTTGAGAAGTTCGGCAACTCTGATATTTTTTCTTAATCAATCAACATTTCTGCACTATCTGTGGTTTGAATTATGGCCTTGGTACTTTGTATGCTTAGGCCTTCGTAAGCGTGTTTCTTCATTTCTTGGGACCTAATAAACTCTTCAAGTTATTCATTTTATACTAATGTGCATGTACACCAAATGCATGTAAACCAATATTCCTGGAATAAGTTATGAGAACACGCAACGATTAAAGAAAGACTGAAAACCAGAAAAGTAAAGCAAAATGAACTTCGGAGTTAAACTACAACGTGGAATAACAGAACTCACGACTACTGCAATCGTGGCCATGAAATCCAAGAAAGCGTGGCAACTTCCATCTGCACAATCTCCATTGAAATTACATGCATATGGCCATTTCATGGAGTCAACCACTGTGCATGTGTTATAGAGCTCATAATATGCTGGACACATCAACTCACCTATTGAAAACATTAAAAATGAGTAAACTTTCCATTAATAGGGAATTTAACTTCAATGTGAAAATAAACAAAATAACAAATATTGACCATTAAAGCCAGCAAACTTAATGGATCCGCCGGCCTGAGGACACACTCTCCACATACCATCCACAACAACCTGTATGTAGCAAGGAGCTTCATTCAGCAATTTTCATGATAGATGAAAAACAAGAGGTGTAATAAACAATTCAAATCTAGGCTAAAGAAACATACTAATTCAAAGTTGTATCATTTAACCCATGTAGGACATGCTTGTTTAAGCTCTAAAAAAAAGTATCAAGGACAGTTCCTCCGTGCTTAAGTATACCATTAACACTCGACAGAGTTAAAGCAATTGTATTGCGAGAGTAGAAGCCCTTATGGATATCTTCCCTCCCTTCACATCAAAAAATTTTCGTAAACTAACGCAGACCAAATTAAAAAACCTACGACAGCAAAGAAAATGTCATAAACATTGATGTACCTCGATTCCGAGAACTTGAGTAACGTCAAAAATATGGTGTAAGCCACAAACTAATTATCTTATCACAGTGTTGAGTCCAGCAGCTTGAATTTCATCTGACTCAAAGTACACCTGAATTTCCAATTTCAAAATGCAATAAATCAAAATAAAACACAAATGGTCAACAACAGACTCCTCCAAAAACTGATTGAGCTGAGAAGTATACAATTTCGGGTCATTTCGAAAGTGGTCAACATGGGGTGACGAGACAACATTGCAAGCCCTCACATCATGTCCAGCCTTACGCTGTGCATCGATAAACGACTCCACTGAATCAGCAGGAATAACTCTGCCCGCAAAGCTATACATGTACAATTGTGGACAACCTGGTTGCTTTGTAGATAACATGCTCAAAACATCAGAGAGCCTCCTGCATTTGGACAAGACTATCAGCTCAATCTTAATTATCATTAATGGTTTAATACTAATGTGCATGCTATAAGAATCAAAGACAACTAAGGTTTGGAAGATGAATGATTTAGGAGTCATTACTTATTCACTGCAGGGAGATGCAGAACGATATCAAAAAAATTCTTTAGTATTAACAGCAAAGCTGTTTCTGCTGGTGCAGGTTTTAATCATAAATCTTCATTGCTGCCAATTGATACTTTAACGCCAGACTCATTCGTGGATACACGTCCTTTTGTAGCTACACTATTCTTTTTTAAAAATCCTGCAGAGAAACCCGAGGCCCAGACATGAAAAAATAATCAAATAATTAACTTCAGAATCTAGCATAAAAGTTTTAACTTTACCCCTTTCAAGTAAACAAAATGGTGAAAGATCTCAACCGAAGGTCTTGATTTGTTGCAGTATCATACGTCGACAGGGAAATTTATTTGATTGTTTTCACAGAGGATACACAAAACAACAATGGAATTGAAAAAGTAAGCTAGCGTTAACGTTACGAGCGCTAGAGAATAAAATAAACAGCATTGGACACTATATGCACAACAAATGACAGTTTTCACCGAGTCTGAAAATCGCTAAAGCCTTTACCTGTGGATCAGGATTTGCAACAGGTGCAGAATCTACAATAGCACCTAATCTTTTCAATCAAAGAAGGGTTCAGGCTAATGCCATTTATACACAAACTCAGAAGTTGAACCTGCAACACCCTTCGAACAAACCACACAACAGCGACAACCTCGAAAACCTAGTCAATTCAGCCAAACGATACAAACTATGAACAACCGGCAACGAAGCAACCGAAGAAGAATTATACAAATTCGACCCCGAAACCGGAACCCGAAACTTCATATTAGGAACCAGCACCCGAATTATGCTCACAAAATATAACTCAGCAAGTTTTGAATCAGAAATACTACTAACCAACAATGAATGTGATTCCTGCAAAGAGTTAAAAGTTGAAGAATATTCCAAATTTGAAGTGGAACAATCACGAGACGATCCAAGGAATGAAAATTTACCAGACACATCAGTAGAGAAAGAAGCAACAGCAACAGCAGCCACAAGAGGTCTCTGATTTGCTCCAGAAAAATAGCTCATTGCAGAAACCTTCAACCCTTAATGATATCACAACTATCAACAAACAAAAACCCCCGCTTTCTTATCTACACAGAATGAAATTGGTAAGATCCAGATTGAAAATCAAGTGGAAAACCGAAAAGTAATTGCAAAGTTGAATGCTTTAGGTTAAACAAAAAGAACCCAATACAGAAAAAATCAAGGACTGAAACAAACACAGTGAGAAGAAGATTGTCGAAGAACTAACCTTGAGAAGCAAATGGAAAAAAAAACTGAGAAGAAGATGAACCGTATTGAATGAGGAAGATATCTGTTCAATTACTATACAATACTGGATAAATGAAGTTTCTACTCTTGATTCCGACTTCCGCCATTTAAGACGATGACATGTTCAAAACAATTGTAAAACTGAATCATACAACATAGACTACCACAGTAGAATCACCCATTCAAATCAGATGAACCATAATCAAATCGGCAAAATCTCAATATCAGAACAACACAAGAAATTAATAAAAAGGAAATTGATAGATTGCTCAGAATAAGAAGTAAAGAAAGATAGGAGAAAAGATCAAAATTCAATAACTTGACTACCATAGAAGGTGGAAAATAGCACCAATTACATTTCAATGCCAAATTAAACTCTAAACAGTTTATCGGAAAATTCAATAGCATTCTGTGATGTATTAAATATTAAGGGTTGAGTTACAGGAATAAATTAAAATAAGTTGTCATACAACAAATGCAATACATGTCACTGACCAAAAAATATAAAATTATTCCCATATAAACTCATAAATAACTAGTGATTCTGAACATCAGAAGTAAGCATCGCAGGACACTGACAATATAAAATGATCGATAAACCCTTTTCTAGATTCAAAGAGAACCAGCAACATTAAGGATTAGATTGAACTTCAATGATCAGACTGCAACCTGTTCAGGAACTTCTAATTGCTGTTGATGTATTTCTTCAAAGTGAGGAGGGGCTCCTGATGATGGGTGATTTGATCCTGTAATCTGAGAAGATGTTCCTGGGGCTGCATAATATTGCCCTGGTGCTTTAGCTGATGGAAGAGAAGACCCTGACATTGGAGGAGTTGACCCTGACAGTGGATAACGCTGCCCGGACATTGGAGTAGTGAATCTTGACGGTGGATATGGTTGCTCTACCCTTTGCTGGGGCCCAGATGGTGATCCATATGGCTGATGTCCTGCCATTTGATGAGAAGGTTCATACGGTGTATAAGGATTTGGGGTTGTTTGAGGAGATACCCTTTGCATATGAGGAGGATATTGGTATTGAGGGTGGTGAGACTGCCCTGTTGAATTAGGAGAGGGTCCAGCTGCTGGCATTTGGAACCCATTCGTTGGAGGAGATGCTCCCCATGGAGGGTGACGATGCATTCCTCCCATTTGAGGAGGCAGTGGTGGGAGTTGCTGCCCTGTCATTTGAGAAGGCAGTTGTGGGTGTTGCTGCCCTGAACTTTGAGGTTGATATCCAGATGGAAAGTGGTGGTTATGTGCTCCAGCCATTCGATTATCAAAGTTTGTTGGGGAATTTTGTACTTGCATTTGAGCCGATAATCCAGAAGATTGATTATGTGTTCCTGCCACTTGAGAAAGCGGTGTTTGTTGAGGTGCTGCCATTTGAGAAGGAAACTCAGAAGGCGGGTTGCGTGCTCCAGCCGTTCGAGTATCGAAGCGTGGTGAGGAGTTTTGTGTTGCCATTTGAGTTGGATACCCGGAAGGGTGGTTATGTGTTCCTGCAACTTGAGAAGGCTGTGTTTGGTATCGCTGAGGTGCTGCCATTTGAGATGGAAATTCAGACACTGGGTTGTGCACTCCAGACATCTGAGCAGAAGGCAGTGGTGGGCGCTGTTGTGGAAGCCCATAAGTTGGGTTATGTGTTCCAGACATTGGAGAAGGGGACCTTCCAGGTGGTGGACGGTATGCAGGTCTTGGACGGGGATTGTATCCAGCTCGATTCATGTCTAAGAGCCTCTCAATCTCCTCACCCCTCCCCTCATTTTTAAAAAGATCAGTCACAAATTCACGCAAGGCAGAAGTTACCCCAACGCCATACCTCATAACCTCGTCCAACAACTCTTTGCTTTTATCCAACAAACCTTCATTACACAGCCCCTTGATCACAACCTCGTAACAAGTGGGGTCAGGCTTAGGATCTTTTTCTCCCATTTTACTCAAAATCTGAGCACACTCAACAGCTTTACCATTCTTAATCAATTCATCAAACACCCTGTTGCCGAAGGTAGCAACCACCCTCAAACCAGAATCCACCATTTTGTTGAATATCCCCAAGGCTTCATCAATCCTATCCGCTTTCAAATAACCATCTATCAAAGTCGTGTGAGTAGGCACATCCGGGCTCAAAGACTTAGAGCAAAGCTCTTGAAACAGTGTTTCAGCTTCAGACAACATCCCACTCTCACAATATCTAGAGATAATGTTACGATAACCAGCAACATCCATTATAAAAGGCTTAGAATTAGGTTTGGTTCCAACCTTCCTAAAAGTAGCAACAGCTTCATCAACCTTACCAAGCTTAAAACACTCATTAACCATGACATTAAAAGTATCAGAATTAACAGCTTGAAAATTAGGAGGAGTATGATTATCTAACATCTGATCAAACAATTCCCAAGCCTCCTTTTGCTTACCATGCTTAAGCAAAACCTCCAACAAAACATTACAAGTTGCCGGGGTCATTCTAAACTGGCGATCCAATAATGACTTGTAAGAATCCATAGCCTCCTTATCTCTTCCCTGATTAAAGAACCAATCCATGTAAGTAGCATTGACAACACCATCATAAACCAAACACCTTTCCTTAAGCTCATCAAAAAGCTCATTAGCTTTATCCAGATTACCAAGCTCAAGAAAACCCAATATCATATTATTATAAACCAATGAATCAGCACCGTGTCCTTTGTTCAACATCTCACGCAAAAGATCAAGAGCTTCATCAATGCGACCAACACTAATCAAACCTTTAGTAAGATGGCGAAACGTAACAGGGGAGGGGCTAAAAGGTGCTTGATCAATGATGTGGCGATAAATCCCAAGAGCCACATCGACGCGGCCTTCATCGCAGTGAGTATTGATTAAGTTGTTGTAAGAAACAATATTAGGAACAAGGTTAGATTGGTTGAAGAAGAAGTGAAAAAGAGCAATAGCCTCAGTGTACCTCTTGGCGCGGTACATCGCTGCTATGATAGCGTTGCAAGTAAACACAGTAGGCCGAGTAGATGAGAATACTGAATGGCGAGCTACGGCGGAGGCGGCGTCTAGGTCACCTGCACGAATTAGGGATTGGACACGGTTGTGGAGGTTCAGTCGAGGTCCTACAAGCGCGGATGTTGAATCGGGAAGGCGAGGAGCGTTAGGGTCGCGGGATTGGTGTTGGTGAGGTGGAGGACGGATTGCGTTCAAGGGAGGCTCGATGCGAAGTCTTCGCTTACGACGACGGCGCTCAGCGGCGGCTTCTTCGGCGGAGGAAAATGCGAAGGATCGTGCGGTGATGGAAATGGGAGGGACGGTGGATGAACGGATAGAGCGGAGGAGAAGACGGCGTAACAACATGTTTTTGGGTGATGGATGAATTCAGAACTGCTACAGTTTTCTCTTCCTCGTAAACCCTTTTTTTTGGTACAAATCCTGTTAAACCCTTTATTAGTTGCCAAAAGCTTTTTCCTTTTTTTTTTTTACAACGAAAAGCTTTTTAATATGCATAGTATTTACTTGAATGATTTTTCAAAACGTGGATCTTTTTTTAGTCTTTAAATTCTACTAATAATTTCTAAATTATTCTCTTTTTTTTTTTTTAGAATACATAAGTGTGTTTAGTAAGATTAAAAGAAGAATTTTTTTTTTTTTTTAGCTTTTCAGTTTATATTAATGAAAAGTTATGTTTCTTATCTCGATTTTAGATTTTAGTTTGTGGTTTTTTTTAGTTTTTAATTTTTTTTAAAGTTATTTGAAGTAGTTTTTGAGTTTTTAGATTTTAATTGTAATTTTTTTTATTTATATTCTTATTATTTTAATAAAAATATATTATTATCTTTATTAATTAAAATAATATTTATATTATTTTGTACCTATCAACTAATGAAACTGATCTTACCTGATTAGTCTTGGACCGTCACGATTGGCTCCGAGCGGAAGTTAAGTGAGATGGGGGAATATCTGCAAGGCACTCCGATGTTAAAGTGAGTGATGGTACGAGCAGGCAAAAAAGTGTATGTATGGGTAAGAGAATGAATATCTGACCCTCTGGGAACAGAGGGTATTTATAGCCCTCAGCGCGGGGCCAAGGTCCCTTCATTGGGCCGACCAGGACTGGCCCAATAAAGGAACTGTCAAGTTCTACGTGTGTACCGTACGTGGTCTCCTTCCTGGTGATGCTCTGCGAGAAATGGTATATCGTGCGGTCGGTCACCCAGACTGCTCTGGATTCAGTATATGAAGAAGAGACCGCGGTGAACAACGAGAACGGGGAGCCTCTTATGGACGACGAGGGTCGCCCGATGTTGGGGCGCGTATCTAAGTTCTCGTTGCATTGGTGCTCACGCCATTATGAGCATGGTACCGGGCATTACCATACGCCTGCGGGGGGGATGAGTACCGAGGACGAGGAAGCCTACGATACCCTTTGCAGATATGTCGACAGTTTCTTCCCTGTCCGGTGGGCCACGAGGGAGGGAAAAGTCATTCTTGACGAGGAAGGTTACCCGACCTTCGAGGCCCGTCATATAGATACCAAGGTGCTTGTCGAGTGCCAGTCCTACGGGCAGGCCGCGAACCTACTAGGTTGCTTTTTGTTTTATAGTTTCTTCGTTTGTTACTTGCTCATAACTAACCCGGGTTTTCTTTTTTGCAGACAATATGGCCGGACGAAAGGAGAGGCTTTTAAAACTGACATAGGATAAGAAAGTCAACAAAAGGTTGGTGCGAGCTCCACAGGCAACGAGGATGGGGCCGCCGACCAGCTCGGGTGATGCTTCTAGCGGGTCCCCGGACTCCCTGGACGTCGAGCAGCCCACTGATCTGATACCGAGGAAGAGAAACCGGGTAGAGAGCCAGCCGGAAGTCGGCGACGAGTCTAGCGCGGTGAGGGCCTTTGGCTTGCCCCCCTACTTTAAAGAGGAAGGCTTCTTCGAGGGGTTTCCCTTGACAGTAAGTGCCGAGGAGGCTGAGACCATCAGGCGGCTAAATAAAGAAAGTCGGAGAAAGCATCTGGCCGCCAGTATGGTCGGGATGGTTAAGATGGCCGAGATGGCCGTTGTCCTTGCTGAGGAGGGGGCAGACTCTGATCGTGTCAAAGAACTGGAGCTGGAGAAAGCTGCCCTTGTTGCGGGCTCTCGTAAGTTGAAGGATGCTCTAGAGCGATCTGAGGAGATGTTCTGCGAGCAAGTCGAGTTGCTGGCCATGGAGAAGGAGAACTCGGGGAAGGTTGCCGAGGAGAGGGACTGTTTTCGACTGGACCGGGAACGCTTGGAGGCCAACAACGAGCGTCTGGCCAAAGAAGTCGAGGATCTGAAGGCCGCCATGCTCCCCGCCGAAGATGAGTCGGAGGAGACAGCCCCCTTGTGGAGGCGCTCAGATTTGGTCGCGCGTATTCATCTCCTCGAAACAGACTGTGTTTGCGCCTTGGCGGATGGTTTTGAGGCTGCGGTTAGCCAGCTCACTTTATTAAATCCTGGTCTGAATACCGAGGGGGTGGGTTTCATGTCCCAGGTCATCGACGGCCAGGTCGTGCCTCCTCCCGAGTCTCCTGTCGTGGATGCTGGTAGCCCCGGGGAAGTCTAGCCGTGGATTCTGGTCGGGCCTGCGCGCCTGTTTAATGATAGTTGTTTTTGGGGCCTGCGTGCCCGTGCATATTTTTTGGGGCCTGCGTGCCCGTGCCTGTAATTTCTGAACATCGTCGGCCTTCTTGGTCGGTTTATTTTTATTTGTTTTTGCTTACGAGCCTTTGAATGAATGTTTGTTTCGACCTTTAATATTTGCTCGTGTCTAAGTTTTTATATTTGTGATAAAATTTGCCTAAGTTATGTCCCCGAGTCTCGCTTGTGCTCGGCTGTTACTTTGTGGCAAAATTTGCCTAAGTTATGTCCCCGAGTCTCGCCTGTGCTCGGCTGTTACTTTGAGGCGAAATTTGCTTAAGTTTTTTCCTCAGGGCATGCTTGTGCTCGGCTGTTACTTTGTGGCGAAATCTGCCTAAGTTACATCCTCGAGTGGAGATTCTTTTGACCCATTTGGTGGTCCGACGTACTTCGAAATGCGTCGGGCGTGCGGAGTAAAGCCGCTTGCTCGGGCGTATGACCCAGATCGGGGTCGCTTGACCGTGGCGTGAACTGCCCATCGCGAGCTGGGTGTTCTTCCATACGGGTACTTCGATGGTGGAGCTCGATTAAGGTGTCCATGTCGGGCACTGTCGTTCGTGCTCGATTGGCTGAACGATGTCATGTCGTTTGGGCGTAGATCGGGCCCGTACCTTGGCCTTTCTACGTGGTCGAGACATTTCTCTCTGTTGACTGGATGTGGATGTCCGACGACGAGAGTCCTTGGTGTTAAGGGTTTTTAACTATAGTACTGCTTTAGTTTAGCAGTGTTTCAGGGTCGTGGCAATGGTTCTCCGTCTAGTTGCTCGAGGTAGTACGCCCCGGTACCTGTGGTGTCGCGGACGCGATAAGGCCCTTCCCAGTTCGCAGCCAATTTCCCTTTGCGGGAGTCTTTTTGGTTTCTTCGTAACACCAAGCTGCCGATCTCAAACTCGCGTTTAATGACCTTGTCATTGTGACGCAGGGCCACTCGTTGTTTTAGGGTGGCCTCGCGCAGGGCCGCCCCCGATCGGATTTCCTCGACTAAGTCGAGTTCGTCCCTGAGTGCCTCGTCGTTCATTTCTTCGTCGAGGGGAGTTTTTGTCTGCCTGGAGGGTTCCCTGATTTCTACTGGGATGACGACCTCGGTGTCGTATGTTAGTCGAAAGGGGGTCTCGCCCGTCGTCGAATGGGGCGTGGTGCGGTATGCCCACAAGACACTGTACAGCTCCTTGACCCATCCTCTCTTAGCTTCGCCAAGCCGGCGTTTAAGTCCTCAGAGGATGACTCTGTTCGCAGCCTCGGCTTGCCCGTTGATTTGAGGGTGCTCGACCGAGGTGAAGTATTGTTTTGTTCCCAGTTTGGTGACGAATTCTTGGAATCCGTGGTCGGTGAATTGGGTGCCATTGTCAGTGACCAATGCTCTTGGGATCCCGAATCTGGCGAGGATGTTTCTCTTGTAAAAATAGAGGATGTTGTGCGAGGTGATCTTCGCGAGAGCCTCGGCCTCTATCCATTTCGTGAAGTAATCCACGGCTACAATTAGGAATTTGTTTTGGTAAGTTCCTTGCACGAAGGGTCCGAGGATATCCATCCCCCACCACGCAAACGGCCACGGGGATGACAGTATGTTCAGCTCGTGAGGGGGAGCGAGGTGCATGTCGGCGTGCCTCTGGCACTTGTCACACTTCTTAACGTGTTCCTTGGCGTCCTGTTGCATCGTCGGCCAATAGTACCCCGCTCGAAGGGCTTTCCTCGCCAGGGACTTACTGCCCATGTGCTGGGCATTAATCCCTTCGTGTATCTCCCGTAATACCTCGGGGACTGTGGATTCGTCGATGCACTTCAGGAGGGGAATGGAGAATCCCCTGCGGTATAGTTTATGCTCGAGCACCACGTAGGAGCATGCTCGTCGCTTCGTGACGGTTGCTTCTGTCTGGTCTGAGGGGAGTTTGCCCTTTGTCATAAAATTGTACACCGGGGTCATCCAGGACGAGGCATCACCAATGGCGTGTACCTCGACTGGTGTCGAGGACCTTTCGATGCTCGGGCGTGACAGGGATTCCTGTATGACGGATTTGTTTCCGCCCTTCTTTCTCGTGCTTGCAAGTTTGGACAATATGTCTGCCCTTGTGTTTTGCTCGCGCGGGACGTGTATATTTCTGCTCGCTCAAACTTTGTCATGTGTTTTTTGACTAAGTTTAAGTATTCGACGATGCTGTCGTTTTTGACTTGGTAACTCCCTTGGACTTGGGAGGCAACGAGTTGTGAGTCCGTGAAGATTTGTGTCTCGCGGGCTCCCAGGTCCTCGGCTAGCCTTAGTCCTGCGAGCAGGGCCTCGTACTCTGCTTGGTTATTCGACGTCGGGAAGGAGAGGGTTAACGAGTGTTCGATCGCGACGCCTTCCTTATTTTCCAAGAGGATCCCCGCGCCACTTTCGGACGAGTTGGAGGCTCCGTCAACGAAGATGGTCCATTTGTGCTCTTTCCCTGTGGGCGGGTCGTGAGTGGTCATTTCCGCGACGAAGTCGGCCAGGGCTTGTGCTTTCAGAGCTTTCCTGCTCTCGTATTGAATGTCGAATTCGGAGAGCTCTAAGGACCATTTCAACATTCGGCCCGCCATGTCAGGTCGACCTAAGAGTTGTTTCACCGGTTGGTCGGTTCGCACGATGACTGTGTGGGCCAGAAAATAGTGTCTGAGTCTCCTCGCTGCATTGACGAGGGCTTGAGCTACCTTTTCTATCTGTTGGTACCTGCTCTCGGG